ATCGATACCACAGGGACCTTACAGTTATTTAAGCTTACCTCAGGGGGGTGTGTGTAATTTACCCTAATAAATAATAATGATCTATTTTACCGTCCTGAAACGGTTCTCTCTTCACACACCCAACACAGATACATACGCAATCGATCTGCAGTAGAACCTTACTTCAATCAATTCCCCCAGGTAATTTTTTCCTTTTTTTTTATTGCAGATTAATTTGCTGTTGTTTAGCTGTTCGAATTACTAGTTTTATCTTCTGCATCGATTTTGATTGACTGTGTTTGTTATTTTCGTTATTATCTGTAATTCTTTCGCATGCTGCGCGCGAACAGATTGTGTTGAGATCTGTCTTGATCTAGGTTATCGGAGATTTAATGAAATTAATGGAAATGTAATTGTGATTTGTGAGTATCTTGAATTGCATGTTTATCCGCATTTGATTTTCCGTGATTGTGTGAAATGTAATGCGGATTTGCTTTTGAATTTGTTTTGATTTCATGTTCATCTGTATTTAATTATACTTGTTAAATTTTTTTCTGGGGTAATTATAAAGCTGAGTTAATTAAAAAAAATTAAATCTCGAGTGCGGTTGATTAGAAAATTAACCGATGAAAGAATCGAAATTATGTTGAAGTATTCGAAATACTAATGCTATGGGAATTAAGAGAGTGTGTGCTAATTTGTGAAGAATGTCGAAATGATGTGGTGTTTTGGTAAGAGTTATTAGGATTTTTTTATTTTATGACAATTTGTAAAACTATCACTTATTTGTGCAGTTGTCTAGGATAGTTGCCATACATTTTGAAGAATATCGAACTTGAATATAGGTCCAGAATGTTTAACTTGACTTGTTCAATCGGCCTTTCTTTGATTTCTGCTCTAACAAATTTAAAAGAGTGTAACTATCGATTTTTAGTTGATATGCTTTGTTTCCTAAACGAACGTTAATCTCCTGACACCGTTTACACCATAGTGGGAGGAATTTATACCTTAAAGAAAGTATTTTATGGAGTGCCTAGGCTATATACTTTGCATACTCACTATTCTTCAATTAACAAGTGGATGATATTCCGAGTAGTTTTTCTTTTCTTTTTTTATAAGACCATTGGCTTCTGCAGGTTTTTTTTTCTGAGACTCGTAAGGGGGGAATATGTCAAACACCGAGGAAGTCAAAGAACAGACAGAAGTTGTTATGGAGGATGCTGAAAAGTCAATGCCATCGGCACAGCAGGAAGTTGTGTTCAGATCATATTCTTTATCGCCATATTTTCTTGACTGTGTTTGTGTCATATTTTTCATCCAACTCGTCATGTTTTGTTTGCAGGAGCAAGCTGTAAAGAAGAAATACGGTGGAATTGTGCCCAAGAAACCACCGCTCATTTCCAAGGTAGTATTTTAAGCTTCTTGCATCCTTGTGTAAAAAAAATGTTGACGATTCTTTTCTGAGAGTTTTAGTTTAACAGCAGGACCACGAACGTGCCTACTTTGACTCTGCTGATTGGGCTTTGGGAAAGGTAACATTCTTTTTCGGTCTGCACTATTTTTTGTAAACTTTAATATTGTAATAGTGCCCGTGCTTTGTAAACAGTAATTAATATTCATGTATGCTTTATGGCTACAGCAAGGTGTAGCGAAACCCAAAGGACCACTGGAGGCTCTGCGGCCAAAACTACAGGTAGCTATTATTAAGTTTGTGACATGATTCTAATGGCAAAAGGAATTCATATATCGATATTTTTTTGTTGGGAAATTCATTTACAATTATAATATTTTCTTTAAATGTGTCATTACGGTAAAGAATTTTGAACAGTCAAGAATTTTGAACAGTCTGGAGGTTCAGGGTGGGTGCATATTCTATGATAACGTGTTCTTTGTCTTGTTTTGTATGTTGTGATGTTCTTAGCCAACTCAGCAGCAAACACGTTATCGCAAATCTCAATATGCTCCATCAGAAGGTGAAGGTAAGCACGATTTGCTCTCAAATTTCATGAAATGATAATTTGTAGTTTCTAAATTTATTGTCTAGAATAGCATCAGTTTCTTATTCGGTTTTACATTTCATTTGTTGCTAGGAAAAAAATATTTAAAAGAAATTACATGTCTTGTGAAATCATCAGCAGGCTAGGGCCATCGTGCATTTGAAGAGCAATTAACTGTACTTTCTATTTCTGTGTAGATGGAAATACTGCTGAACCAGAAGACTCGACCAACGAATGAAAAAGCATATGTTGATCCTTTTGATCATGGGGAACTCTGATATTACCTGCATATAATATTTACCTGCATCGTAACTTTTGGTGGGACTGAATTTCCGCTAAAATAAGATCTTCAAGTGCCCCAAATAGAGGGAAAATGCACATATATGTTTGTGTATTTCTCCAGATCAAGAGGTCTTCATGAACTTTTTTCCTGTTGTAAACTATTTCCTGCTATCCAGTCGAGATTATGAATTCAAGATTTGAGGTTTTGGACGTAAATTTGTAATCCCAGTTCCCTTTCTTCTTTTTTCGTACTATTATAAGTGGGTTGCTTTAATTTCCTTCGATGATCAATCTATCTTCTTTTGCAGTCTTGTGTGGGATAAATGTGTTTTCAAATCACGAAGTTTGCTTCGTGTGTTTTCTGAATATATTTTGCTCCTTTTTTGATATCAAGAAGTACTGAAAACGAAAACTACCTTAAAACTTTTCTCGTCTTGTTAGTGTTGTAAGAAGGTTTAGTTGATTATTAACTGTCAACACATAATCACACACACACCCATGTGTATATGTGCTTAGTGGGAAGTTATTTCATCTATTTCACCGGATGTAGCATCTCAATAACCGTTGTAAGAATAGGGGAAATGTTTGTATTTGTGTTATATATATATATATATATATATATATATATATATATATATATATATATATATATATATATATATATATATATATATATATATATATATATATATATATAAATCAGATGCAGACGAGTCAAAAAAGAGAAACATCATAAAAGGGAAAGTGAAAAAAGGAAAGGGAGAGGCACAACTGTTGAACTGTAACAAACACACATATCCACAGCCCAGTTCAGGGGGAGAGCTCTTATATTTTTTTCTCCCGCAGAGTCTCGTAAAGAAAAATTATACCAAATTACACAAGAAATGAATTTCATTCCATAAAATTAGCCACCGATGTGCTAATCGTTTTTGCAGAGATCCCATTTTCCGCATTCAGCATAAGCTTTTGCACTGCCCGCCACGTGTAATTGAAATCAACTTATCTATGACGGAAACCCATGTCTACCTCATGACCATACATCCCTTGGCTGGTGTGACCTGGTGCAGCAAAAGGGTTGATTTGCTTTGACTTTGCCCGCAGCTCCATTTCTATTAGCCTTTGTATAGCTTCCGGTGTGTTGCCTGCAGAGTCAATATTTACAGCTGGTTACGTCGTAAGAACTAAACATAGATTTCAATAAACTCGAAACAAATACCCTTACTCTCCAAGCTAGTGAGCTTGAACATAATTAAAAACAAAATCACATACACCAGACAAACTAAGGTCTCGTTTGGTTCCCAAGATACGATTATGCAAACTTATCACCATCAAATTATCCCAATATAGTAAATAATAGTGAGTGATAGCAAACTAGAACTCCAATTTTTTTTTTCTTCTGGAAAACTATCCCTAAATCTAATTATTCGAAGTCTTTTCAAAAGATAAGATCATCTCCCATTTTCTCATTATACAGTGAAACAGGATATAAAGATTTTACCTGGCATTGGAACCCCACTGTTGTCAACATTTGGCTGGCGTGGGCCAAAAGGGAAACCTGGCATTTGGTTCCTCTCGTGGATGAAATTAGTTGGTTGCATGCCATTACGAGAAACTGGACCACCCCTTGGAAATTGTGGAGAATGGTTGACTGGCATTTGCATCTGATGCAGCATTGAATGTTGCGAAGGAACATCAAACCCAGCAACCCTAACATTAGGGCGATGAAAAGAAGGCCTAGCCATATTCGAAGCAAACTGGTTATTGGCTGGAGAATCATGATTGAAAATGGGGGGACTCATTTGAGCAGGATGAGATTCCAAGTGATGATACAACGGCCTCACTTGAGACATTTGTGGAGGTTGAAAATGGGGCGATGATTGCTGCATTTGATGATTGCGGTACGAAACATCAGGCTCCATTTGTTCATAAGAATCGCGGTGAAAGGACAGTCTTTCTGAACCTTCATCTTTAAAAGCTGCTGCAGGACCAAATGCTGCCAGTTTTTCCATTATGTTAATCATGGGTGCACCCGAAGAGTGGTTTGTGTTGTTAATCGATTTACCAGTTGACAGAAACCTCAGCATCTGATGATCCTGAGTCTCACCGGCAGAAAGTAAGTTCTCCTCTGCTGGCAATTGGAATTCATACCCAGTGTTTTTGGGGTTTGATGAAGTTCTTTTAATTGAGGAATCATCAAAGACAAGCCAGTTCTCAGCATCCCTCATTGTTGTATTCTGCCTTTGGTTCGAAGAGACCTTATAGTCGTGACCTGGTCTTTGAAGCCCACCTTTATCAGTTGTTGTGGAAGAAATGTCATTATCTGTGACTGGTAACGGTAGTCCATGAGGCTCTGGGGCATCAAATCGAGCAGACCCAATTGAACCCCTTTGGACAGAAACAGGTGCTTCAACTGATTTTAGCTCCTTCATAAAAGCAGTTCCAAAGAGTGTTTCAAGTGTGAGAGTACTCCCTGAATCAGGTAAAACTTTATCACTCTCTTTCCCTTTAGGATCGTTGAACGCTGTCGCCAATTCATGCTCTCGAGAAACTAGCCGTTGATCACCCAAATTGATATGACCAATAGAGTTTACACTCGTATTATTTTGGTCTGCACTCTTGTGCAGCAGAGAAAGCAGGTTTAGAGATGCATGATCCCCAGCATGAGCACTTTGTTGTTCAGTATTTGAAACAGTAGCGTTCCAGCTTTTTAAAACTGGCTGCAAATTCGTAGTCTTTGCACTGTACTCCGATAATATTGATTGTTCAAGGTCTTCGCATGTAAGTACAGTCGGGGTAGGTTCCTCTTTGCTGTTAATGCATACTTGTTCAGATACCCCATTAGCTGCAGATGACATATCAAAGCTTAGTAAGTCTTATTCGATTGTTGAAAGGTGTTATAGGAGAAAATCATGAGTAACATCAGAAACTTGATACTTGCCTTTGTCACCACCAACTATCATCGAGAGTAAATTGTTTGGCCCTGCAGAAGAGACATCAGCAGCAGCCTTTGATTCTGCAAATTATTTGATGGTAGATAAATCAGAAAGATGCAATTATAGAACTTTAAGGACTTTTGCCAATGTTAAATGTAAACCACAACGAATATACCTTCCTCAGAAAACCACAGAGCAAACTTAGAAGACTGCGCAGAACTGGGGCTCCATGTATCATCAGGTTTACCATCGTGACGCTATATAAGATTACACATCCAATGAAGTTAGGAGCAACCAACACAAATACGAAAAGCAGAAATAACCCAGCATTTCATTGAATGTAATATTGATGCTCATTCTTTTCATTTCACATCTCACTTTGCAGCTGAATCTTAGAAGTAACTGTTGACATGCCACTCTCCAATTTCATATATAGACCCGTTTGTGTTAAACGGAAAATTACCCACATCATTCTAGTTTACAATGTCGTTTATACTAATGGTTTCGCTATAACTTAGAGGTCCAGTCTAAAGAAAATTTGGAAGGACTCTGATAAGACACGTCCAACGTGAATGCAGTTAAAAACTTACCTCAGCTGAACTGGAATGCCCATCATTCACAGATAACGTGCTACCAAAAATCTTTTCCAAAATTGACGTTGAATTGCTTCTTGTGGAATCACCAAGAGTTTTGCCCTCTAATATCTCTGCATTGAGTTTAGCAATTTTAGGGTCATCCAGGGATCCATGAGAATCTAAATGACTGGAAACTTGGAGTAATTGGTCTTCCACGCCAGGTTTCTTAATAAGCATATCTAAACCATTCCGATTTTCCCCTTTGTTCAAAAGGAGTGCATGATGTATCTTCTTCGCCGGCTGCCCATCAACCACACCGACCTCTTGCGGCAGATGTCTCTCTAAACGATCATTAGTATTTCGAACAAGGTTTGCTTCAGCGTCAACGAGGCTTTCCCCTGTTACAGGTTTCCCCACCTGCGAAGCACAAGATATATAAACATTACGGGCATATATGCATATCTTCACAAAGGAATCCTGAAGAAGCAATTATCAAACAATTTTAAGATTAAGATGAATGGTTCAAATTCATCAGCAACAGAGCAGAATACAAGTAAACATAGAAGTACCAAGATCTTCCCCCAAGGGAAACAAGTCCTCACCAAATTTATAAGAGATTAGAGTGAACAAATTTTACTTTCATTTACAATCAGATCCTCTCTCCGAGTCTCTGACATACCAATTAGAACAGTTCCTCAACAGGTAAGGTGGTACGATATAAAAATTCAGTAAATGAAGATATCAAACTACATTACTAGATGATTATGAGCATTTCATTATGACAGATATTTCACAGGCATACTGCAACACCAACCAACTAAAGTTGCTAAAAAGAAAAACTTAGAAGCCATCATACCTCTGACAAAGTAGGATGAATCAGAGACTTAAAGCCAGAAGTCTTCTCCAGGGTATTGTGTTTAAAACCAGGTGGAACAAGCGGTCTAGATGCAGGAGAGTGTGATGTAAAAGGTGCTTTTTCTAAATCATTGCTCAAGATGGGAATTCCAGCAGAAACCTCCAGTTCACTATTCCTGACAAGTCCACTTTCCTCTTTGCTATCCATCAAACCTTCACAAAGGTCTGAGAAACCATCAGATCTGGGCCTCCCCAGATTAGTCTTTTGCTTCTCTTGCAGAGTCTTTTGCTGTTCCTTTCTCATCGTCTCAAAAGCAGCTGCAAAAATTTACATTTACAATAGGGATATAACAAAAAAACGACGAATGAAAAGTCTACTATAACAAATACAGGAACTATAAGTGAGATCAATTAAGTATAAGTTGATACCTCTTCTCTTCCTCTCCTCCTCTGCTCTATCCTCACTGGTATGCTCCATTGAACCAAAAGTTTCATCGTTGTGCAAGTCAGTTTCTCTTCTTAAATGAGGTACCGCCTGAAAAATCATTAGTTACATGAGATAATGTCAGGTGAACTGAACAGATCTCCTTTCTTGGCATATTTTTAGTAAATTTTTATAAGCCAAAACAATTTCAAAATTAAAAGTAAATCAGCAAAAACAATTTAGAAAATGGGTAGAAAAAAAGAGAACTACGTATAGGAAATAAAATATTAAAATTTTGTATATATACGACTACTTTACCTTGTAAGGCCGTGGAGGCTGATATGGCTCGGTGCTTTTTGTAGGTTGACTTTGTTCATTTGCTCGCACCTTTTGAGCAGAGCCAGAGGACCCCGATGCATAACCAGATGATCTAGGAAATGAACCACTCCCAAGAAGCCCATCATGCTCAGGACTCTGCCAAGATCGTCGAGATTGAGGGCCATAACGCCTTCCAGAATCTGTAAGAGAATAGTTAAGCCATCAATCACAGTAAAAGAAAACAAATCCATAAATCTAATGACTGAAAGCCGTAAGGTAGTGTAAGGAATTAGGAAGCATGATGGAGGAAGGAAGTTCTAAAATGTGTATACGAGTCTACGACACATAAACAAACACTGCAGACATCATTCAAGTGCAGGAAAAAACTTAATTAAATTAACAAAACGTAATGAGTGTCTTACAAGTTAATGTTAATCTATACCTCATACCGGTAATTACTCTTTCCTTAATGTTTTTGAATCATCTTATACCAATCAGCTAGTGTTGACATTCAAGAAAAAAGTATGCATTCTTCCATTCAATGGCAAGACTGGCACTGGGTGCAGATAGAGAAAACCTATTGACACGAATAACTTGAAATAAACCAAACAAAATATATTTTGCCCTTTGTTTTCCTAAGAAACTCGTAAAAAGATGGAACTATAATAGACATCCCAATCAAGTATATCAAATGTGCTTCACAAACAGCTGTTCTCAAGCCAGACATCAAAATTCTAAGCTGGTCAGCTAACAAAATCGTGGCTCAAAAGTCTTAACCCTCTATGTCGACTAGACCTCTCAAGCACACTTCACAGTTACAAAAGCCTGTTCTGAACTATAGTAAGAAAAAAGAAATAGAAATACATGACTTTTAAGCCTACAAAAGAATGTTAAACAAAACCTGAATCCCTCTCAGATTGAGAATCACTAACTCGATCGTTCCGCCCAGAAGAACGGCCTTCCCACTTCCCATAAATGCCTTTAGAGTAATTACCAGAGTCCCCCCGAGTAGGTGGAGATGATGAGCCATACTCATTTCGTTTGAAACCCAGCATTGATGAGCTCCCATGAATTCTGGGTTGATTTGTTGTTTTCAGAAATTCCTCAAATTCACTGTCTCAAATTCAACAGATAAGCGTGCGTAAAGATGCAGAAGTCTTCTAAATATGAAGTGTCTTCTAAATATGAAGTAAGTCAATGAAATTCGACATAAGGCCGATAACAGAAATGGGATGAGTTTACGGTAAAGGAATCTTGAGTAGTCTTTACCTTATCAATGATTCATCAAACCCCCTTGGCAGCTTCTTGCAGACATCCAAATTACTCAAAGATAATAGGAACTTTCTTGAATAGGATATTTCAGGTTTCCTATATCATCAAAAAAACGACCATTTCGTCAATAAACACTAAAAACAATAATCATGACTGAATATAATCAAACTCATTTGAACAAAAACCTCAGTAATTACCTAGAAACAACATCAGAATTTTCAGAACCCTTGTCCAGGGACTTCCCATCTTCCTTTTGCAAGCTCATTCTGCAGTTCCCGATAAAACAACAACTTCGCCGAGAGCAAACAAATGCACTCTAAATCAAACAAATCCTCCCAACCCAGACAAACCCGATTCAACCGTGCTTATCGTAAACAGAACAAATAATTGCCCAAACTGAAATTTAAAACCTCGAATTCCCGTCTTAACAAAGTGTAAATCCCACAATCTATTCAGCTGATCCAATACATGCTCATGTCAATGCTAGTACTAAGCTAAAATTTCACAAGTTGATCCGGCTCAATCGAAACACGTGCCCTAATCCCACCCGAAATTCGAAATACAGCAGTTGGAATAACCTCCTTTTTTCTGCCCTAATCTTCAAATGCTAAACCCCCAAATTCCTCAACAGATATCACACCCTTCGCTTTCTTTACAATCAAATCAAAACCAAAGTCAAAAACTGCGGTTTCCGCTCATACATGGATCGAAATAGACAAACGCCAAAGGCAAACCAAAAAAAAAAAATTAGGGTTTGAAATTCTCGCAATTTCCGTTTCCTATTCTCCGATCAATCATGCGTTGGAAGAGAGATATCTCGCATATACATATTGTATGCATATATATACATATGCAATATATATGTCTATTTGTATATATACCTATACATACATATATATGTTTATATTTCGATTTGTTGTGGAAAATGAACGAAGGGACAATGGGCGATTACGAATGAATTTCAAGAAACACGATGGAGAAATAACGATTGGAATTTGTTCACGCTCTATATTATGAAAGTGATGATACAATTAAGCGAAGAAGTGAATTTGTGGTGTTCTTCGCCTCGCTTTATCGATTAACTCGTATGATTCACCGTTGTTGCTGCGCGTGGGGAAGCAGGGGTACCTGACCGCTTAAACAGAAAAAATCTAGGGACTCGTTTATAATTATAAACATTTGGGTTTTAACTACATTTTGCACCCATGAATTACGTTTATTCGCATTGAAAGCCCTTGACACTATTGAAATTACCAAATACCCATTAAACTATACTTTCCACTACTAACACACCCCCTTAACAAGAGGGGTGTTTTTGTAATTTAACCATACCTCAGGGGGGTGTTTGTAATTTACCCAATTTAAATTTCCACTCGTTTAAATTATACATTCAATGGGGATTTAATTATTGTCCTAGTATATGGAGGTATCTTATGCAAATAGTTTATGTTAGGGGGCGTGTTAATTTTAATATTTTTTTAGGTATTTGGTGTAAATGATATAACTCGGTTTGAGGACTAAACTGCAATTAGTCCTAAATATTTTTTGAATAATTTTATTTCGCATTATATATTTCTTTTTGACCCAAATCGAAAAGAAATATATATATATATATATATAATTAGATTTTTGTATGACATAGTAACACAATTAATCATATGCTATACTATATGATTATTGGATTACAACAAACAATACTTACATCTACAAGGTCCATACGGGATAATTACAATTTTCGTCCATCGAGTTTACATCAATTTTATATTTAATCCCTTATGCTCACAAAAAATGTATATTTGGTCCCTGATGTTTCCAAAATTGAATACTTTTAGTCTTTTCCGTCAATTTTTCGTTAGTACTAACGGAATCGTGTGTGTGTCCGTCATTGGTTTAACTAACGGACTAACGGTAAACTGCGGAAATGGCCAAAAGTATTAAATTATTCAAACACGAGGGGACCAAATGTGTTTTTTGTAAACATGAGGGACCAAATATGAAATCAATGTAAACTTGAGGGGTTAAAACCGTAATTTTTCCAGATCCACACCGCAGAAAAAGATAATTATTCTAACTTCCGAGGGTATGTCTACAAAATTCTAATCTCATCCGTGGGTAAGTCTGCAAAACAATTTACTGTAAAGGGGCAGAACTGTAATTTGAGCCCCAGCGAGCCCCACCATTCTCAGAGCTACTCTTATCCTCATCCGTAATAAAACCCACGCAGAAGGGAAAAAAATAAAAAATAAAAAGGATAAAGCAACTCCAATCAGCAGCTCGCTTCACCTGCAACAATGGCGTCATCTCCCGCGCTGTTACACTCCACCGCCTCCACATTCCGCGGCGGCCAGCTCTCCGTTCGATTGCCGTCCGTTAACTTCGTCTCCGTTAGGTCCGGTGGCCTCTCCGTCAACGCCAAGGCGCCGGTTGTCCTGGTGGAGAAAACCGAATCCGAGAAAGTCGACCGGCTCAAGACCGCTTACCTCGAGAAAATCGTCCCGATACTCAAGGAAGAGTTCAATTACACCAACATTCACCAGGTGCAGTGTGCTATTCTCGTTTTACCCCGGAAATTCGAGTTATCTATTTCTTAAAATTGAAATTATTTGGAAAATTCGCTCTCTCTTAATATTATTTAGAATTGTTATATGATATTTCCAGTTAATAGTAATTTATAATTTTGTGAGAATGATGAGTATAATTTGATGAACTCATGATATGGATTATTTGGAAACTATTGAGCAAGTATTATCTGCAAATTTGTACTGTTTCTTCATTCCGTTTTGTATGTATAGCTTCTTTTATGTGTATAATTTTGAAATTATCCAGTTACCGAGCCAGAATTTTGTATTCGTGAGTCCAAATATACGCAATAATTTTCGTAGGGGTCGATAATACACTAATGCTACACTAAATAGGTTTTAGAAGTTTAGATGACCTAATTTTGTAGATTATGCTCTTGGGATATTGATAAACAAGCTAACAATGTTGGTTGTCATTTCTTCTTTATCTTCTTACTTGTATTAGTAGTTTTGTTTATCAACGTACCTTTGTAATCTGCTTACGGCTGAGTTGGCTGATTTTTAATGGTTAAGGTGGATTGATCTTACTGTGTGTAGGTCCCGAAAGTAGACAAAATTGTAGTGAACTGTGGAATTGGAGATGCTGCCCAGAATTCGAAAGGATTGGAAGCAGCTATGAATGAATTAGCACTTATTACTGGGCAAAGGCCGATTAAGACGAGGGCGAAGAAGGCCATTGCCACATTTAAGATTAGAGAAGACCAGCCGCTCGGAATTGCTGTCACCCTAAGAGGATACGTGAGTTCTTTCAACATTACCTCTCCTCCTGTGAATGTAGAATCACGTATAGAAAAGATGAAAAATCTCAACTGAAAGAATTTATATTAAATAATATGATATGATTTGTACTTAACTTCATTTTTTTTTTTGTTTTATGACAGGTGATGTACTCGTTTCTTGACCGGCTCATTAATCTAGGTTTTCCGAGGACAAGGGATTTTCAAGGGGTGAACTCCAACAGCTTCGATGGGAACGGCAACTACAGCGTCGGCTTGCGCGAACAGAGTGTTTTCCCTGAGATTAGTTACGATGTGCTCGGTAAGCCGAGGGGAATGGATGTTTGTATAGCCACAACTGCTAATACAGATAAAGAAGCGTATAGGCTACTGGCTCTAATGGGAATGCCGTTCAGAGAAGGTGGCGGTCCCACAACCACAGACGTGGAGCGAAAGAAGAAGCTCAAGTCTCATCATTTCGACACCAAGGCCAAATCGAAGACCAGGAAGAAGTAAAACTCGTCTTCGATCAACGACTTTTTGTTTTGGTGTCTCTCCCTTTGTATTTATTATAAATTGAAAGTTGTCGAGGTTTTATGATAGAACAGTCTAATGTGGCTATTGACTTTGTTTTGTTTCTTTCTCCCGTTAGCCGATTCTCGAAATTTTCATCCCACCCTTTTCCGAGGTAATGTAATTTGGGCATTTACTGTCGAACCTTTGATTACAAGCTTATTTTCTTGATTTTGTAGTCTATGGTAGAATTGTGCACTGTTGTAGGTTATGATTCTTTTGGAATTAGCTAATGATGTTTGTGTGAAGCTGACTGGTACCCAGCTAGTATTCGCCAAAAACCCGAAGTCCCTTTTTTTTTTTTTTTTTTTTTTTTCTCGCAGTCGGGTCAGCAACCATCATTGCATAGAATATGAGGAAACCACGCGACTTTCTATTGTATATTTTCAATTTTTAATCCTTTTATGACCATGTATAAAATATCTTATATAACTATTTATCAAATATCTTTCCACCATCTATAAAATCGTGTATATAAATTATAACCAATAAAATAATGGGTTTGATTTTCTTTGCAAACAGTTTAGTAAGCATAATAATTTGCCCAGAGAGACTGCTTGCTGGTTCATTTACGACAACAAAGAACGATGATTCTTAAGATTGATTATCTTTGCGGCTGCCGTTTAATTCCGTCAACCAAACCAGTGAATCTCTTTGCTTAATTAATCCTGTTTCTGTTAACGTAATTAATACGTTTTTAGAGTGAGTAATCAAATCCGTTACACGTTGACTGTGTGTAATCTGTGTGATATATATAGATATATATATAGAGAGAGCTATATATAGATTAGAGGATATGATTTCATTTGCAGTGGCAATCGTGCCAATGGCTAAACCCTCGTTTATCAGAGCAGAGCAACCGCTGGCTCCAGATCTCGCCTCCGACCGCGCAATCAGCGGCGGCGCCACCTCTCGCCGCCGCGACATCGTCTTCGTCGTCAATCCCCGAGGTCTCTCTCAATTTTCTTCTTAGTCGCGATTACATGTTCGACGGAAACAAAAAAAAATATTATATAAGCTGTTTCATTTGCATTTTCAATTTTCATGATTGTTGAAATCGGTGCAGGAGCTAACGGAAGGACCGGCAAGGAGTGGAAGAAACTGTTGCCTTTCTTGAGGTCTCGCCTAGGTTCTGATTGTAATGTGAGCAAACATTTTTTTCTTTTCGATATTGATTTTTTTTGTTACTGTTTTTGGTGAACTTAATTCGGAGATTTAATCTTGTGTTTTGAGCTGATACATGTTCAATTAGTGGTTGTTTTGTGTTTCTTATAGAAGAAGATCTTATCTCTCAGCTTTTAAGTTTCTTCACATATATACTTAGATATTTCTGGTATTGGATTGTTGGTTTTCTCATGTTTGTTGTCAGCTTAATTTACTGTTACAATTCAAATTGATTTTCCCCTTCAGAAACTTTTATATCATTGGATTCGTAGTTATTTACGATATAAAATAACCCTACATCTTGGGATTCTGTGAAGTCTCGAGTGAGCAGTTCCGCATAGGGGTGTAAACGAGCCGAGCTCGAGCCGAGCTCGCCTCTTTTGGCTGGCTCGAGCTCGAGCTCGAGTATATTTTGTCGAGCTCGAGCTCGAGCTCGAGCTCGCGAGCTCCTCTTTTTTTGGCTCGAGCTCGAGCTCGTGTCAGTTGTGTCGAGCTCGAGCTCGAGCCCATTGTCTTTTTTTTTTTTTTTGTAAATATTTTTTTAATTATTATTTTATTATTAAAAATTATTTAAAAAAATAAAAAATAAAAACTAAATTGTAATTATATATATTTTTAATATTTGTATTTATTTCTATAATATTTTACATTATTATACATTATTTAAATAAAAATAACATATAAAAAATAAAAAAAAAATAATAATAAATCCGGCTCGCGAGCTCATGAACAACTGAAAACCGGCTCGAGCTCGGCTCATCAGAAAGCTCGAGCTCGCGAGCTCGAGCTCGAGCTCGAAAATCTCGAGTTCGAGTTCGAGCTTTTTACGAGCCGGCTCTTCGAGCTCACGAGTCGGCTCGGCTCGTTTACACCCCTACTCACTTCCGCATCATTAGAACATAATCTTGATAGTCACTTTATCCGATTACTAGGAAGCATCAACTAGCATGCTTAAGATCTCTCTTTCTGCTGTCGTAAGTCAAACTGAAACTACGGCATTATTTGGCCAATATTTTGTTGCTATTTTCCATTGTCTAGTAGAGAGTTCTGCTCATATTGTTCTTCATACACACACATATACTAAGATACCATTTTTGTTTTCGATTTTGTGGTCAGATATGTGAGTCTTTGACTTCCGGTCCTTGCCATGCCATAGATATTACGAGGGAGGTGAGAAAAAAGTGCCTATTTCATTTTATAAATGCAAGTTAGGTCAATATAGAAACTGAATGATCTTCTATGGCCAGGCTATACGCGATGGTGCTGATGCAGTGGTTGCGGTTGGAGGTGATGGAACTCTTCATGAGGTGTACTTTTATTGACTTTTTTTTAGCATGAAATCTAATTTCATTTTTCCAAGTAAGAAATATTCTTCTTGCCAAATGTGGCCATGTTCTTAATTTTTTTAAACACATTACCTAATTTATCTGATAATTGCAGGTTGTGAATGGCTTTTTTTGGGGTGGGAAGCCTGTTTCAAGTCATGATCAGGATACCCATACCACCGCTCTTGGTGTAAGTGATAGTCACTGTCTTGTATATGTAACGTATAGTTTTATTAACCAGAGAAGTCGAAAATGATGGTGCCTCACTGCCTTTTATTTTTTTTTTGCGAGAATGTTTGATTCTTTTGTCCTCTCTACAGCTTATTCCCTTGGGAACTGGTTCAGACTTTGCCAGAACATTTGGCTGGTCAGTGCAATTTCTTGGTTTTGTTTTTACTCTGTCGAGTTTTCATTACCTTTAATGCCTTGTTGCGCTTGCATGATTATCAAATTCTGTGTTTGCTTTGGTGTTTTCAGGAAAAATGACCCTCATGATGCTATTGAACGCATTTCTAAAGGTAGGCCTACTTGAGCTACTCTTTTTGCGGATTCTTTGGGTAGAGCTTTTTTACCTTGTAAATTTCATAGTGGAATACAACCCTACTTAATTTGGTGATCTTTTTTTCGATACTCTCTGAATTATTTTCAGGGATGAGGTCTCGCATTGATGTTGGAGTTATTAATGGGGAAGGTGGAGAACCGCATTATTTCATAAATGTTGCTGATGTTCATTTGTAAGCATAAAAGTACACGACGTATGAAACTGTGCATTTAACTGGAAAATATTTTTAGTTATTTGTCTTTGATTCTTCTAACCTTGCAGGAGTGCAAAAGCCGGTTATTATGCATCAAGATACAAGAAGTTCGGAAATCTCTGTTATGTGATAGGAGCTTTGCAGGCCTTCTTTCGTCATCAGAACCAGGACCTCAGAATAAAGGTGCTGCTCTCAATTAATTTTTTTTTTAACAAAGTCTTTCCATGTGCTTGTTAATTCTTTTGCGTAATAAGATCTTGCTCTGTTTGTTTTTCTTACCTAGGTTGACAATGGTGACTGGGAGGTTTACTCTCAAGTAACAGCTCTTTGTATTGGGAATGCCAAATATTTTGGCGGTGGAATGAAGATTACACCAAATGCCCACCCTTCTAGCACGAACTTTGAGGTGTACAGAGAATCTTGTCACTTTACCCCCACCCCCCCACACCCCCTCCCCCCCAAAAAAAAGAAGAAATAAATTGGAGCAATTACTTACTGCAATGTGCTTTCTGTTCAGATGGTTGTTCTTCAGGACTTCAAATGGTACGACTTTGTCTTCAAAATGCATAAGCTATACAATGGTACACACTTGTCGGTGAGAAATGTATCTTTAAGAGGGTACACTTCAATACCAGTGATTTGCGTGTGTATTATTTCATTGATTAGCTACAACCGCGGGTTTTAGAGAGATGCATAGGTTTGTTTTAATAAATTCATAAATCAGGCTTCTAAATATGGATCTTCTCATATCTACCAACTTTCTAGCATATTATTGAGCTAGCTTCCAGTTCATTTTCAATTAATATAGTAATGAATCTTGAATTACAGAAATGAATAGAATAAATTCAAGCATATAGTATTTTAACAAAACAAAATATACAAAGTTACATGTGTGTAATTTGATAGAGGGTAATTGTTTATGTGTTCTCAGTGCCGGATTTAAGGTTCTCTACTTGCACGAATGAATTGAGATGTAGTATTTCTTGTAGCTTCGATCGTCTTTCTATATATATATATATATATATATATATATATATATATATATATATATATATATATATATATATATATATATATATATATATATATACACACACACACGCGCGACCTTGTACTAACGTTCAATGTATCCTCCTTTACCAGTGCATCTTCAATTGAAATCGAGGAGATTGTCCGCAGTGACAGTATTTTCGTCCAATCGGATGGTGAATATTTAGGTTTTCTTCCAAGAAAATTCAGTATTTTGCCCGGTGCTATTGAAATGATATGCTAGCAAGTAGCAAGCAATCTCTCTCCCTTGAAAAATACAATAGCAGTTTGAGAATGGATATGCTGAAAAAAGAGTTGTTCTTTCTATCAATAAAAGCGTGTTACATGCTGAAGAAAGAGTCGCTCTTTCCTTGCAACCCAGAAAGATGAATTTAGGTGTTAGTGTAATTTACTTTTCTCGTTAGCAATTTTTATATGTTAAGTTATTTCTCAAGAATTTGGTCTGTTAATTAATATATTATTATCTGTCAAATTATATCTTTTTGATAGTCCATATCGTATATTGCAAATAAAACCACCCATAAATTTTCAATTAGTACTAATTTGATAAACATGGTTATAATAGATGATTTTTAAATGAATATTAAAATATTAACTCATATATCAAATGAGTATTTGATAACTCATTTTTTATAAAAATACTTTTTAAAAGTGATTATGAGCTTTTTTTTTTTTTTTTTTGCTCATAATCTGTTTTCTCGTGTTTGCAAAATCAATTTTTGTTTTTGCTTCTCTTAAAATAATCTGCTTAAAGCTATTTTTTAAAAGCACCTACAACACTGTTTTTTTCTATTTAAGTTTGTTTTCCGGAATATTTGCAAACACCTCCAACTTTTAGAAATAAGCACTTAAAGCTGACTTAACTTACAATCACTAACTTCTACTTTTAAATAATTATTTGCAAATACCACCTTAATATGTTAGTTAATTCTCGATAATTATGAATTGTGAATTAAGTTGGTTTAAAGTGCTTATTTCTAGAAGCTGATGCCGTTTGCAAATTTATCGAAAAATCAAATTAAATAGAAAAAACTGTTTATTTCAAGACAAGTAATAAACAAAAATTCATTATAGCTTAGAACTGTTTATTTCAAGACAAGTAATAAACAAAAATTCATTAAAAATAGATTATGAGCCATAAAAAAACTTAGAATCTATTTGTAAAACCTTTTGCAAACACCACCATCGTAAGTTGCAAACTGTGGAAGATACCACGAAAAATTTCAGTTGACTGAAGGTTGATAATTTAATATAGTAAAATAAAATGCTAAACTTTCGAATCTAAAATAATAAATAATCATCTGTTATGGCCACTCCCTTGGAGCAGGCCCGTTCCTGAGAATTCGGGGGCCCTAGGCGAGGTTTAAAGAACAACTGAAAACAGGGGCCCCTATTTGATAAAATTTTATTTATTTATTTATTAACGGGTGTTCGAAATTAAATGTATTAAAAAAATATAAATAATATTTTCTAAAAATGATGAAATAAAAGATTATGGGGGTTCGGGGGCGGTGCCCCCGAAATATTTTTTGAAATGTATGAATATAAAGTAGCTAAAAATGTGAAAAAAAATTCAAAATTAACAATATGATTTGCTGGTTCAGTTCTTCCCGTGACGTATAATCTTTATAGCAAATAGACTTCATAAATATTTATAAACTTGAATACACTAATAAATATTGATTCTTATTTACCAACCCTCATTAGGAGAATTGGTACCTAGTCTTTATCAATAGGGTAAATGTCTAGGGTTTGAGTTCCCCCCTCTCCTACTTTCCCTTGTTATGAGCTTGAATTTACTCAAAAAAAAAAAATATTGATTCTTATTTTAGAATAAAAATAAGTAATTAAGACATTATAAATTTAATATTTAGGGGCCCCAAAGTTAGGAAAATTGCAAATATATCTATTGATCATTTAGCTTAAATTTATTTTAGAACCGATGTTCCAAAATATTATATATAATAAATTTTTAAAAATAAGTACTAATGTATAAAGTGTAAATAAAATAATTTGGGGGCCCCAAATTTTCGTAAAAAATCGGGGGCCCTAGGCGACCGCCTACTTCGCCTCCCCTCAGAACCGGCCCTGCCTTGGAGTATTGCCAAATTACAAAAAGATCCCTCTTGTTTGGATAATTTATGTAATTCGGTTATTTACCGAACCAAATCGTATATTCAGTTCGGTAAATGGTATGAAATGTCGGCGTATCGAAATTTTGGTTCGATTAACCGATTTAACATCCCTAAATTTACCTCTGGAGGAGTATTTCGCAAAATAATACATAATTGAGGAGCGGCTATAATTACCCGAACATAATGGGGTTTTCGTAATTTGACGATGACTCGTGGGTGGCCATAATTTACCCTTAATATATTACATAATGGGTATAATCCGTATATATACAAATAAATATATTGCACAATGATACAAATAAATAAATAAATAAATAAATTTGTGCTTTCTCGATCGTTTATTATTTCCTTTTTTTCTTTATTATTCTTCTCCATTTCTTTTCATTTTCATTTTTCTTTCGACGCAAGAAAATGCTACTCTTCAGTTCCAATCTCTAAACCCAAAGAGCAAAGGACTTAGCTCTGTATATGCAGAAGAATCCATTAAACGGTAAATTTCTTTTTTCATACATTTTTCATGGTTTTTGAATGCGTATGTAGTGGAAACGCAATTCTTATTCTTTTGTTTTTGAAGTATTCAATTGTTCCTCCTATTAATAAAATATACTATCGCTTTGGCATCGAATTATTGCTCCATTTGTTTATTTGCAGATTGTGGGTAGGGTGTAGTTTTTCTCTGAAAATTTTAGGGGGTTTGACAAAGTTTTTCTGCTGTGATCACAAGGTGTTTGCGAAATGGCCTCAAAGAGAATTTCAGGACTGAAAATTTTCTTCTCTTCTGTCAACTCGGCCGCTCGATTTGATTTAGGACCGTCTGTTGCGTACACGAGCAAATGCTATCACACTAGAGAGTCGACGAATTTGCAGAGATTTGACCAGAATCGTTTTCATAGGCTGTTACAGAATCCGGGCTTTCAAGGCAGTGTTTCTTTTGCCGGGATCAACCCATCGATTACGCATCGTTTATTTTCATCATCTGCTAGTGAAGCTAAAGTTAGCATTCCTCGAAGCACCGATTCAGGTTTAAATGGGAGTAATGGTGGTTCTGGTGGAGATGATTGGATTGAGAAATTCAAGGAAGTTATGCAATCTTCAATCGAAAAGGCAAAAGAGGCGTCTAACGAAGCAGCTCCACATATTCAACAATGGTTAGATACTCAGCTTCATCGCGGAGAATTAATTGTACCTGTGGGTGGTACTTTGGCAGGGACTTTGTTGGTCTGGTTTTTGTTGCCAAGGCTTTTTAAGCAATTCCATAAATACTTGGCGCGAGGCCAGAGTGCTTTGTTAGCAGAGAGCTCATGGGGGAGGTCTTGGTGGGGCCCCGTTCCTTACGAGGAAAGTTGTTGGGGTGCACTGGAGGTTCCGGTTCGATATTGTATAACTTCCATTGCATTCTTGGAAATGTTAGTTACTCCATTTTTATCTCCTACTTTTTTTTTCTTCTTTTGAGTTTTTTACGAACTTTTGATTTTGTTATGTTATCTTGTGCAGAGCTACAATGGTTGCACCAAGTGTTATTGCTTCGCAGTACGTTGCACAGGCTTGGAAGGGCACTCTTGTCATTTCACTTTTCTGGTTCTTGTACCGGTGGAAAACAAATGTGATTAACCGAGCCCTCGCTGCTAGGACCATAGAAAGAAATCATTTGTTAACTTTGGAAAACGCCTCAACTGTTGGAATCTTTGCTGTGGGGTTGATGGTTTTAGCCGAAGCGTGTGGAGTGGCAGTGCAATCTATTCTGACAGTTGGAGGCGTAGGAGGTGACCATTCTCTGAATTTAAACCTATTTTTTTTTATTATTTATGTCAACCAGAAAAAAAAAAGGTTTATCGTAGCATGCTCTAACTGCTAAATAAGTCGAATAACAGTGAATCATGCGTTGACGAACATTCTTTTATGCACTATGAAATATTATCATGCAGATTTGTGGGTATTGTTGACACTTTTCTAACTGCAATGGTTTATATAGTAATTGCACCGCAGAGTAACTTCATTGGTTCATTCGACATTGCGAAATGTTAATAGTGTTTGCCAGTTATTAAGTAGTTTGATAAATGCAGAGCCGAAATTCGTGATGTTTCTTATTTTGCTACATATTGAATATGACTACTTATTTTCCATCTATCATACAGGAGTGGCTACTGCTTTTGCATGTAAAGACATACTTGGGAGTGTTCTTAGTGGTCTCGACGTACAAAATTCTAAACGGTTTTCGATGGGCGACACAATTAAAGTACGTTTTCCTAGAGTTGTTTATGTTTAATGTTTCACATTTTTTTAGTGGTAAAGTTTTTTTAGGATTCCTTGCATTTGGATTGAAGGATTTGAATTTGACTAGAGGATTTCAAACGACCTCTATTATAAAGTGTAAGGATTCGAATTCCCTCGTAGAAGAATTCTTCTAAACAAAGTCAATGGATTTGTTATGAGGGATTTCAAATGTTCGATAGTGTTTTTGTATATTTTCACCGAGTGAATTTAATATGTTAGTTTCAATATATTTTTCATTTTTCTTGCGATGTTTCAAAATGTTTGTCTCACGTTTTGACCCTTTTTCCCTCTTATCTTTTTCGTTACTTTTTCTCTTCTTGCTATTCTTTCTGCAGGTTGGAAATGAAGTAGGTGAAGTGGTAAAAATGGATCTCAGAACTACATCATTGGTTACTTCAGAAGGTTTTGCTGTTACTATCCCAAATTCTATGTTTTCAACCCAGGTTTGCATAATATCTTTGTTTCCCGAGTCCTTTTTTTTTTTTTTTTTTTTAATTTATAAATTCGAGTTAAGTTGTATGAGGGTAAAGGAAGAAAGAGCAGTAATTAAAATGTAAATGTATCTTCTGCCAATGTTAGCTCCTTGTAAATAAGACGCCGGCCGATTGTTGTTCCATAGTCAGAAAAATTCGTCTGCAAACTGATGACATGGACAAGATTTCTCAAATATCCGAGAATATAAAGTCCGCGCTCAGATCTAATCCAAACGTGTTCTTGGAAAAGGAGGCCCCTTACTGTATATTGTCGTATATTGAGGAGGGATCACACTCAGAGCTGACTGTTGGATGGAATCTTAAAAAAATGGTACGCCTTCTGCTTTTTCTCAAAATTCTTCGTTCGTTATGTTTAATTTCACAGTTACTTGTAAAAAAAGTTCCTTATGTTATCGTTTTTTTTTTGGTAAAAATTTTTATGACGGCGAAACTTTTAACTCTGGCTATACTCTTTTGAGTTAATTTGTTTTTTTCTTTATAACCTGCGTCTCTCGTATTGCATATCGAGACATAAATAATTTGCACACATCTTCACACAAATATATGACATTAATTTCTACGAGTAGCTACAACTGCTTATTCATCTTGCTCTCAATGGATGTGCAGGACAAAGATGCAGTGCATAATATTTTTCTAGAAGTCGGTCGGATCATCAAGCAGTGAAGAAATTATCGGTTTTTCTTGTCTGAATCGAGTCACGTGACCAAATGCTAACCGTGACACTATCACAATGTGAACATGTACCTCGTTTTTACTCACATTTCGACCGTCTTTTTTGGATTCTTTTCAAGGATATCAAATGACTGTGTGTGGTATGTGTATTTGTGTACGTGTGTGTTAGCCTATATTGGAGATATAAATATGAAATGATACATTTCACTAAGAGCTTAAGCTTTTGGTTGAGATGGTCATTCAACTCAGTCCAAATGAATAGGTAACGTAGAATTTTGAGTTGGGGCTAATATTTCTATTGCATTTTCTTAATTGTCGTAAGAAATTTAGAGAAACTAAATATTGCATTTTTATTTATTGTTTGAGAAAAAGATATTACATTTGTCGGGTTAGGTTAAAAACAGTCTACATCTAGTTCATTTGTCTTAACAAAACAAGAAACATTTAGATCTTATTACAAGCTCATTGTAATACTTATTATAAGCTACATGGCTAAAACAATATTCAATTATCAACATGGACTTTTCACCTTTCCGATACTCGGCAAATTTTCTCAATGTAAGTCCGATGAAGCTTACGATCACCGAAGATCTCACGGCCAGCTATTTCAGACCGTTGTCGCAACTCATCAGAAAACCATAGCTTTTC